ACCACATAGCTGCTCACAACCATCCGTAATGAGATCTGGTGCCCTCTTCTGGCCTGCAGGCAAACACAGAACACTGTATACATAATAAAAAAATAAATCTTAAAAAAAAAAAAAGAATTGACAGTGGAGAAACACTACCTATTCCAAACGATCAAGGCAACCTCGACAGTCATGAGTATGAGTCATGTTGAAATGATGTGATATCAATGGTCCTTTGCCTTTGTGATCTCCCTCCCCCCAAACCATAATTCATTCTAATAATGGGAAAAAAATCATGTTAAGCCCCAACAGAAGAGCATCATATAATAGGCCTGGCCAATATTCCAAAACTGCCAGGGTCATCTGAAACAAATAAGACTTAGGGAGGTGCCGCAGCCAAGAGAAACCTAGAGAAACAGTAGCATTGACTGCATCTTGGTGCCAGGGATGGGATCCTGGAATAGAAAAGGACACCAGATAAACCTATGAGGATCTGAATGAGCCAGGAGCTTTAGCTAATAATAATGCACCAATATTCATTCATCCACTGTAACAGATGCGCCGCAATAATGCAAACATAGTAATAAAAGGAGAAACTGGGTGCATGGACTGAGTGTGATACCCTAACTCTTTTTAATGCTTGCTCAATTTTAAAAATTAATTGATTATGCTTGTGTGTGTGTGTGCACACTTGCATGCCACATCACATCTGTGGAAGTCAGAGGATAGTCTGTGGGATTTAGCTCTCAGCTTCTACCCTATAGGTCCCAGGGACTGGACTCAGGTCACCAGACTTGGCTGCAAACATCTTTACCTGTTAAGCCATCCCACTAGCTCTCATTTCCCTTACATCTGAAAGTGTTCTGAAAAATTAAGTGTTTACTAAAGAGCAGAGCCCCTCTTGGTGGCTTTGAAGAAGGTAGCTTCCATGGGCTCTAACCCCTGCAAGGAGAGGAATTTCATCATCAACACTCCCGACACTGGCAAGGATCTTAAGCCTCAGAGGAGAACCCAACCACAAATGTGAGCACAGTTTAGTAAGATGCTCGGCTGAGACCCCTGTTGAGCTACACCTGGAATTCTTATTCAGGGAAACTATGAGATAATAAATGTTTAAAGCTGCTTAAAAGAATAGCAACAAAACCCAAAATAACATATAGTTAGGCATAAAGAGGCACACTAATGAAATTTAAGTTAATTAAACTGTAAAGCATGCCGGGCATGTCCACTGAATTGCCAGTCAAGGAGGGGGAACCTTGGAATAGGGATCTGAACCTAAGGAAGGAGACATCCATGTGTTGTTCCTTGATTAAAGATATCAGGCAGCTCCGGGGCCTGAAGCAACTTTTGTATATGTTGGGACAGAAAGGCAGCCAGCATGGGTGGAGAGGTGTGAGGGAACAGTGTATGCACTGGAAAACAGAAAGGCAGCTGAGAGAGGCAAGGTCAACTGGGATGTGGAAACTCTTAAAGAAAGGAAGGAATTTGGGTTTTATTTTAAGTTCCACTGCAAGTCATTAGACTAGAGGAGGTGAGTGACACATCTGGTTCCTAGTTTAAACCATTTATGCTGGGATGGCAAGATGACGCAGTGGGTAAAGGTGCTTGCCACCAAGCCTGACAACCTGAGTCTGATCCCTGGGATCCACGTGGTGGAGAGAACCCACTCCCCAGGGCTAGCCTCTAGTCTCAAATAAAAGATTCATATTACCTGCTCTGTTCAGGATGAATCATGGCATGGCCATAATGGAGTCAGGGTGGCCAGGAGGGACTTCAGTGCTAGTCTAGACAAAAGATGGAGCCTTAGCCCTGGCTGGGAGTAAAGAGGAAGGAAGACTTCCAGCAATTATGGGAGGACTGTAGGAAGGTTCTGGATGCTATGAGCATGGACTAGCTAGCTATTCCAACTCATCTTTTAAAGCTTTGTGCCTAAGAAGCTTCCAGGGAGGGAGTCACGTGTGAGCAGAGCAGTCATGTGCTCCTGCGCCGCATGGTTGGTCCCTGTGTTATCCTGTTCCCAGGCCTCTGAATGTCGCTGATGATTCATTATGATGGTTGCTCGCACCCACATGGGGCTGTACCAGTCTGGGCTAGATCTTCTGCAGAGGTGCTGCCAAAAGAGAAGCTGGATCCCACCCACCACCCCCCGCCTCCTGGCCAAATATGCTGCCCTGCTTAATTAATAGTTTCCTCTGGCTTGAATATCCATTTAACAGTATGTTGGTAGGTATTGCACAGTGTGTGAGGCACCCTCTCTTTAACTCTGAAATGGTCAGACACAGACCAGAGGAATGTCCAGTGAAGGCCATCTTCCTATTGGAACAGAAAAGAGGGTGTGAAGACAATTATAAATATATATTTATATATATATTTATAACTTGAAAAAAACACATATCTAGGCAAGAAGTGGAATAGCACAGAAATTTAAATTAATTAAAATGTAGATGATGCCTCGTATGTTTGATGAATTACTTCATTTAGAGTTGTAACTCAATAGTTGGAATCTTGATTCCAAATATGCTTCTCCACTTAAAAGAATTGTATGTGTGTGTGTGTGTGTTATAGGATTGTGTGTGTAGGTATACACAGGTGTGTGTACATATGTGAGTATATGTGTGTTGTGTGTGTGCATGTATGTGTGAGTGTGTAGGTGCATATGCATATGTGTACATATGGAGGCCAGAGGATAACCTTTCGTGTCATTTGTCAGGAGCTGTCTACATTATTTTTGAGACATGTCTCTCCTTGGCCTGGAACTTGCTGATCGGACTAGGCTAACTGGCAGGTGAACTCCAGGGATTCACCTGTCTCTGCCTCCCACTGCTGGTATAACAAGCACCCACCATCACACCTATCCTTTCTAGATAGGCTCTGAGGACTGAACTCTGGCCTCCACACACTTTACTGACCGAGTCATCTCCCCATCCCAAATGCGCCCCTTTCTTTCTTGCCAAATCTTTCCCTTTTACCTGTTTACCTACTCACGTCTGGCCAGCTCCAGATACAGCTGCTCTTGGTCTCTGCCGGCTTAGCTTCCAGACCAATATAACCATTGGGGACCTGGCTTTGCTCAGTAATAGACACCTGAGGGAGCTGTACCCAAGCGAAGGCTACAAGGTCACATTTGGAGACTATCCATGCAGTTTCAGTGGCTAAAGGTGGTGTTGTGTCTTGGAGATGGCTAGAACAGGGGGCTTACTCTGTAAGGTCATCCAGAGGAAACTGACCCGGGGAGAACAGACCTTTCAGGTTCTGGGACAGGTTCACGCTAGGATGTCTCTGGTTCTCCAGGTCCAGACATTTCTTCTGGGTTCATGTCTGGCCCCTCAGTTTAACTATCACAACTGAGCAGGGCCAGAAATTCAGCCTCTGATCTTGAACCGTATTCTTCCCCAACACATATATTTTTAACAAGACCAATCGACCATGACTTATTTTCCTAAGTCAGAGCATGCAGTTGCCCTGGGCTGCTGAACTCCCAGAGCCGTGTCTCTCCCAGTTGCAAAGGATGCTAACTTGAGAAGGAGGGGTATGGCAGAGCTTCAAAAAAAAAGAAAACCCTACCATTCAAGGGATGAGAAGTCAATGGCTTTCTTAATGCCCTTGTTATTTTGGGGCCTGATAGTGCCCAGAAGTGTATGGATACCACTTCCCTTCCCAACTTCATTCATGAGTATATTGTTTTACTTCCAATTAAAAAAAATAAAAAGAACAAAACAACTCCTGCGGAAGAGAAGGCTTTGTGACCTGAGAATGAATTAGACTCTGCCTAGCCTGGACTATGCTCTGATCAGCAAGAAGTGTCCGTGAGAAGAACAGCTTCTGTAGAGCCGATTGTCACATTAGCGCTTTATCAAAAGTATGGCTTTGCCATTTTAAAAATATGTATCCCGTATCCAAGAAGGGCAGATGTGTATGCACCTCCCAGTAGTCAGGGCTTGGGCAGGCCTTCCACTACTGAGGCCTGCTGGCTCTGTCTCATCTCTTGTTGCATAACTTAGGGAAGCAGTCACAAAGGTGGAGGTGTGTGTGTGTGTGCACGTGCATGAGTGTTCCCTGGTACCGTACAAAGTGGGAGCTGGAAGGACTCCAGAGTTTATCTGGCTCGCTGATTCTCGGCTCTATTTGCACATGGAGTGTACACCAGAAGCTCTGTGGGTTGGTCCTGATTGGCCTGCATCAGTGCTTCATCAAAGCTTTCCGGGAAGCTCTGACTTGAAACGGGTGAGGACTACCTGGGGTAAAGAGGCTCCCATTCGTTCAGTCTTCAGAATGGAGTTTGCAGCTCCTAATCTATCCTGGAGCTCCAGACATCTAGTAGGTGCCCCAGAAGTAGGAGGGCAGGGCTCCAGGCCCCCTCCTGCCCACAGCTTCTGTCCTCTTGCCTTTTGTCATAAGGCCTCCAGTGACCTCACTGTAGTCCCAGCTTTCAGCTTAGCCATCACCATTCAACTCTGGCCTGTTATTGTCTGACCTAGTCCCGTGGCCTGGCTAAAAATGATAACCGAGTCAATGGCATTCTGGCTGTTAGTCTACAAGTTAACTGAAGTCCTTTGAAAAGCTCTCAGAGTTTCAAGGTCCCAGGTTCTGAGCCTTGTTCCTGCCTGAAGTGAAGGGCCAGTGAAGAAGGCACCCAAGCACAGCAAATGCTAGGCAAGGAATAGAGATGGAAGACAGCAAGCCTCCCACCTGGGAGCTCAGTCTGAAACCTGAAACCTGTTTGCTCAGCTTCTCTGTGATACCCAGGTGCTGTGGATATCACTGTATAAATAAAATGCTGATTAGCCAGTGGCCAGGCAGGAAATATAGGCGGGACAAGCAGAGAAGAGAATTCTGGGAAGTGGAAGGCTGAGGTGGGGAGACGCTGCCAGCCACTGCCATGACAAGCAGCATGTGAAGATGCCGGTAAGCCACAAGCCACGTGGCAAGGTATAGATTTATAGAAATGGATTAATTTAAGATGTAAGAACTAGATAGCTAGAAGCCTGAGCCATTAGGCCAAACAGTTTAAACTGTAAGCATCTGTGTGTTTATTTTATAAGTGGGCTGTCAGACTGCCGGGGCTTGGCGGAATCTGGAGAGAAAATTCTCCAGCTACACCCAGGAGACCTCTCTTCAGTCTCAGGGAAGTGCCTCATCAGAGCCTGTTCTGTGTCTCCAAAGAGCAAACAGGATACAGTCTCACTACAAACAGGATACAGCCTCACTAAAATAGGATACAGCCTCACTACAAACAGGATACAGCCTCACTACAAACAGGATACAGCCTCACTACAAACAGGATACAGCCTCACTACAAACAGGATTCATCCTCACTACAAACAGGATACAGCCTCACTAAAATAGGATACAGCCTCACTAAAATAGGATACAGTCTCACTAAAATAGGATACAGCCTCACTAAAATAGGATACAGTTTCACTACAATAGGATACAGTTTCACTAAAATAGGATACAGCCTCACTAAAACAAGATACAGTCTCACTAAAACAGGATACAGCCTCACTAAAACAGGACACAGCCTCACTAAAACAGGACACAGCCTCACTAAAATAGGATACAACCTCACTAAAACAGGATACAGTCTCACTAAAACAGGACACAGCCTCATTAAAATAGGACACAGCCTCACTAAAATAGGACACAGCCTCACTAAAATAGGATACAGCCTCACTAAAATAGGATACAGCCTCACTAAAATAGGACACAGCCTCACTAAAACAGGACACAGCCTCATTAAAATAGGACACAGCCTCACTAAAATAGGACACAGCCTCACTAAAACAGGACACAGCCTCATTAAAATAGGACACAGTCTCACTAAAACAGGACACAGCCTCACTAAAACAGGATACAGCCTCACTAAAATAGGACACAGTCTCACTAAAATAGGACACAGCCTCACAACTAACAGAATGCAGCTCCACTACTAACAGGATACAGCTGCCCTACAAACAGGCTACAGCCTCACTACAAAGAGGATCCAGATGCTTTGCTTTTTATCTTGTTTTATATTTTGAAGGGCCATGTGAAAGGTGGATTACAAAGAGGACACAAACGGACTCTACTGGTAACCATCAACAAACCTGAGTCCCTGTTTTGATGAAGAAAGGGGGAGCCCACAGAACGTAAGTCTGTGTGGGGGAATGGTGACATCTATGTAGAATCTCTATCACAGAGCCACCATGCCCCCCACCTCACTCTCTGAGCCTCTGCCTTAACCACAGGGGTGAACCACAGGGGTGGGCCCCAGGGGTGGCAGTTCTGGCAATGGGGACATCCTGACTCTGATGACATGTGAATCCCCTATGTATCAGCTCCATGGGAAGCCTGCCTTCATGTGTGACACAGAGTAGCTATGCTTCAAGGAACAGAGCAAAATTTGAGGGCCCAAGCCCATCCTGCAAAGCCCTCCTCCTCCTTTTCTCCCCCTAAACCAGAGCTTTTCGTGCCCCGGATGTCTCTCTGTGCACAGGGAGGGACAAGCTTCCCCATTCCTCAGCTTGGCCTGTGGGTAAAGAGTCCCACAGCTCACTCCATCTCTCTCTCCTCGGCTCAGAAACTGGCACAAAAGAGACCGGTCAAGCACCTGCATGATGCCCAAAGCCAGACAGACATCTGCTTCTGCGTGTGGGACTAGTTTTCTCTTCCTCCCACAAGCATTTCTAATCCTGTCTGTCCACACTCATTCTCTTCCTCCAGACAACACACAACTCACCCATCCACCTGCTCCAGGCAGTCCAAAGCTTGAACTCTAGGCTGAGCCCCAAACCAGGAGACTCCAAAGGGAAGGAAGATGCCCAAGTAGATGGCAAGAAAACTTTTATTTGGCTTGGACCAGAACCTGTTCCCTCCTAACTACGCAGTTCTAGGTCCAGAGTCTGCTAACAGCTCCTGGGCTGACGCAGTGGCTATGAAAGCAGTAAGAAAAGGGAACAGAAATGGGAGGATCTAGTCTTGTGCCGCCACTGCCTTTGCTAAACCATAAATCAAGGATGAGCATGGGCCTTTGGAGAAGAAACGCCTCCTTCCTGGGTCTACCACTGAAATACAGGGCAAGGGAGTGGGAAGTGCCCAGGATATCCTGGTTTCACGCCTCCAAGTCTGAGGTCTCCCACTGCTGTCATGTGAGTTCACAGCCACAGTGTCTCCCTTCCATCTAAGCACTGAGGTCCCCAAGGCTCTCGACACTGAGGACTGTGTCTCATTTCCCTGTGCATCACTAACCGCTAGTATGGCGGTCAATAGGTGACAGGAACAGACTGTTGATGAACCAGCAGATGGGGGAGCAGACAGAACTGTGTTGGCCACACCCCTCTGCCCTATCCTCTTACCATGTCTCCACAGTTAGAAGGATGTTCCCAGTCTCCCCTTTCCCATCAGCAACTTTCAGCCTTACCTCCCATGAGGAAGAGAAGCCCTGCCACATACTGCATAAGGCCTCGGTCCCAGCAGCAGCCCAGCACACCGATGATCCAGCCGAAGAGGATGATGGCCACCGCCATACCCATGAAGCCAGCTGTCATTCTGCGCAGGTCTGTGAGGAAGCAGGAGGGAAGCAGTTAACATTAGAACCTGTGAGAGGATAGGGTCAGGTATACCTTAGTCCTGGGGCAGGGAGGAGAGGGTGGGAGCACTTCAAGCACAGGCAGACTACCCACTCAGACTCCTACACAGGAGAGCCACCAATGGTGACTGTCTTCTATGCAACATGCTGTGACAGCTGGATTCCCAAGCACAGGGCAAGCACATGATCCCCTGTGGCTCACTTCATCTGTGCTAGGCAAGTGCTGCCCTTCCTGGGAATCTAGCTCATCCTTAATTCACAGGTGCTGTCTTTAGTCCTGGATGGAGAACGAAGCTGCTTGCTAACAGGAACACCGTAAGTGGAAGAAAGAGCGCAGATCCAGATAGTTGTGACTAACCACTGCATTCGTCAGCCTTTTAGAGCAGGGAGAGCAGGGAGGTGGGCTGCCAGAGCAGGACAGGGGCTCTGCAGGCAGGCTGCCTCTACTAGGCCCTCCCTCCCTTAACCCAGGGTCTGCTGGACTGTGGGAGGAGTCACATGTGAAAATCTAGTTGGGGTTGGGATGGGCGGAGTTGGTCCTCAGCTCCATCTCAAACTGGCTCTTAGGGCTTAGTTTTGCCTGCATCCTTGGAAACAGAGGAAGAGCCATGTTTTCGCCCCTGAGTCTGAGGTCCTTGAGCAGACCCCTTCTTTGCACTAGCCTCCATCCTTCCAGTCTCTTCCTTGGGTCAGCCCCAGCTTCAGGGTGAGGACCATGCCTGCTCGACACCTCTACGACCTATCAGACAAAACTGGGAATGACTTGGTGAGGAAGGAGACTGCTGGAAAAATGCTGTCTACAGCAGAAGGGAGAGGGCAGAGCTGGTCCATGTCTCTGCTGGCTACTTAGCATCTTGCCCAGCTCAGCTTTTTTGCTGGCTCCTTCCCTCCTGTGGCCAGATGTGCCCAGAACTACTGTTGCATGGTCCCTTTACTTGATGGCTCCAACCTGGACTTGTTCCCCAAATGTTTTCCTTCTCTTACTCTCTTTTTTTAAAGTTGGCTTTTCACTTCCTCCTAGGGAGCACCTCACCCCATTATACTGGTCATTCCTTCGTGAGTCTGCCTGCCGTCTCTCATGCCTCCCTGCATTTAAGCCAGTGACACCAGCCCCAACCAGCTAACAGGGCACTAAGCAAGAGCAACGCCATTCTGTTTGGCCTCTGCCCCAAGTTCTGACCCCTCTGCAGCATCACAGAGCATCCTAGAGGACCTCAGAGATATTTTGCTCTCTCAAAGGAAGGGCAAAATGTCAGGGTGATAGAGAGGGTGCCTGCCTGGAATCAAGGTACCTCACATGCACTGCTACCCCAACTTTTTCTTTTTCTTTTTCTTTTTCCTTTCCTTTCCTTTTCTTTTCTTTTCTTTTCTTTTCTTTTCTTTTCTTTTCTTTTCTTTTCTTTTCTTTTCTTTTCTTTTCTTTTCTTTTCTTTTCTTTCCTTCCTTC